AATCTGTGTGAAGTCTCAACCACTTTGAAGAGTATTCCTTAAGAGCCTAGAACACTGTGTTACTAGCATTTAAGTCCAAACATTGTCATTTCAGTTTTCAGGCGGCTCTTTGCCTGTCCCTCCCGTGGCTCTTGGTTTTGTCTGAGATAAATGACAATGAACACAATAGGAATGCATGTCCCAAATCTTTGTGCTCCAGGTGGGCATCAAGAGGGTGATGGGCACCATATGCCCATACATTTATTAATAACATTAAGAGTAACGTGGCTGCCCCCGTTTACCCCAGTATCAGAGCTGTGATCAGTAGGCTGGAGATCAACAGACAGAACATTGTATCCCAAAACCCAACTCTGCTTGGGAGCACTTCCTCTGTGACATTCCTGGCTCCAGACCATCCTCCAGGTCTGAGCTGCCCCTTCTTCCAGTCTTCCCCGATAGTCCTGGCTGACTATTGATTTCCTTTCTGGGCACCCCCTCCCCCAGGCTTACCATTCTATACTGTGACTCTCCATCTGTCTTCTCTATTAGACTGGACTTAGGGAGGAGCTCCACTCTCTCAGCCCCAAGGAGGCCACATCCCTGCAGCATGGGATGGAAAGCTGAGGGTGCACAGGCTGAGGCTGTACAGGCCCTAGGAAGGAGGACAGACCTGATGGAACAGGCCAGGCCTCTTCATCTGGGCCCACCAAGGTGGCTTTTTCCTGAGCTCTCTAGGTGCACATGTGACACCTAATGGCACTGTTTGGCTGGCTAGGAGTCCTGAGCTGCCTTCTGCACTGACAAAGCCAGGCAGTGTGGCCAGGGCCACCAGCGGAAGCGTGACAGATCATGGGGAGACTAAATCTGACACATGATGCCATGGAGAGGGTGGCAGGGGAGCTGGTCATGATGACTGAGGCCTGGGTCTCTGCCGGTGGTGGGCACCCCAGAAAATTCTGCCAGGCCTGTGGGGGAGAGCCGGCATGGACCTCCGATTGGAAGGGGCCCCGAGGACCAGGACCTTGGATATTGTGTCCCACTCTGAGCGAATCCAGGCCACGGGTGGGACAGAGCCAGGCCTGCAGAGGTCCATCGGACGGGGTCCAGAGATGCACCCTGGGACCCACAGGGTCTCTTTCCTACAGACCCAGGCAGCAGTGCTGGGTGGGCTTTCCTGACCCAGCCTAGCAGGGCCTCTCTCATGCCTGCCCAGGGCTGGGCACCCTCAGCTCATTTTCCTTCCTGATTGCAATCAGCCCAGTCTGCAAGGATGTTCTCTCTGGGCTGGGCTGACACAACTGCTGCTGCTGCTGCTGCCACCTCTGCCGCCACCACCACCGCCACCTCCACCGCCCCTGCCACCCGCTGTTAAATCACTTTCATGCAGAGGGCCAGGCCTCTCCCAAGGGTTGGGCAAGTCTGTGACCTGTGGAGGAGGCCTCCCTGAACCTCAGTTTTCTCATATGTAAAATGGGGATAATAATAGTACCTGCCTCACAGGCTCATTAGGAGGATTAAATGAATTAACCCATGAAAAGAACTGAGTGCCTGACATTTACTAAGTGCCACTCTAGCTACTAGAGTCTTTACCTTCATCTAGCTCTCCATCCCCCTCCCCCCCCCCCCCCCAAAAAAAAACCCCCCCCCCCCCCCCGCAGGACCAACCTAGTTCAGCCTTCTTACCATCTATGGCCCAGAGAACTCGCCCGTCCCTCACTGGCCACCCTGCTGTTCTGTCTCTTCCCAACCTTTCTCCCCCAGTAGTGAGACTGGGCTTCCTGGACCCAAACCTTCAAGGGACTACACTCCTCCCTGGCTGAAAACTCCAGTGTTTCCAGTGCTCCTAGCCTGAAGCCTAAACTTCCTTCTCCTACAAACATCAAGATCTATAGTAGCACTAGGCAGGATTTCTCTCTGCTACAATACAGCACCAGGTCAGGACTTCTGGAGAAACATTTGCAGGCACATTCAGCCTTCATCACTTCAAAACTCACTGGGTTTTAAAATTCCCTCAAAAAGCCTATTTAAAAAAAAAAAAGAGGCTTTTTTTCTATAAGAAATCACTTTGTGTGTGTGTGTGTGTGTGTGCGTGTGTGTGTGTGTGTGTGTGTGTGTGTGTGTGCACGCGCATGTGCACAGATCCCCAAAACTTTTACATAGAAGGTAACATCGAGCCACAGTTGAGTAGTCAACAAGCCCTATGCCGCTGGGGCCCAGACCTCCAACTGCCCAAGCTGATTTTTTCAATCAGAACGTCCTAAATGTCCTGTGACCACCTTGTGAAAATGCAATTTTTCATCAGAAAGCCTGGCTAAGACCTCAGGTCTGAGATCCCAGCCGGGAGTAGAGAGGTCTATGGTCTCTCACCCCACAAGACTGTGTTTCCTAAGCGGAGGGGCGTGTCTGTTTCACTCACGGTGCCTGCACACAGCAAGTGATTATAAAGGTTTGTTGAGCCCGGCCGGTGTGGCTCAGTGCTTGAGCGTCGACCTATGAACCAAGAGGTCACGGCTGGATTTCCAGTTAGGGCACATGCCTGGGTTGTGGGCTCGATCCCTAGTGGGGGATGTGCAAGAGGCAGCTGATCAACGATTCTCTCTCATCATTGATGTTTCTCTCTCCCTTCCTCTCTGAAATCAATAAAAATATTTTTAAAAAACATTCTGTTGAATGAATTGTGCCTTAGGGGGTACCTAGTCCTAAGGCTCCCCACGTGTGGCCTCATTTCACCCATGCCTTTGAGACGCTCCACTTGCTTTTGAGGATGCTGTGGATCCAGATCTTGGAGCCCAGGGCCTGGCCCATGCTGATTTAGTAGCTGTGTATGCGACTAGAGCAGCGGTTCTCAACCTGTGGGTCGCGACTCCTTTGGCGGTCGAATGACCCTTTCACAGGGGTCGCCTAAGACCATCCTGCATATCAGATATTTACATTACGATTCATAACAGTAGCAACATTACAGTTATGAAGTAGCAACGAAAATAATTTTATGGTTGGGTCACAACATGAGTAACTGTATTTAAAGGGCCAGAAGGTTGAGAACCACTGGGCTAGAGGCACTGTTCTCACGGCACTGCCCTGTATCCCAGCCTCTTCACTTGCCCCTCTGCGGCCACAAGCTGATCGTTGTCTTACCAGATGAGCTCCTGCCCAGAAGCCCTGAACACCCAAATTCCCCTTCCTTAGCATAACCTGCCCTCATCTCCCCACGCTGATTGCGTCACAACCCCTCCTGACCCCTGACTTTTCCATCCTTACTCTCTTCTTACCCTCACCCAGGCCTAGTCATCTCACAGAACTCTTCCCCACATCCTTGTCACCCTCACCCCTTTACCACCCCCCTGCCCTGGATCTTTGTCAGGGCCTGACAGTCCCAAGGGGCAGGGGCCCCCACCCACATGGTTTTCCTATTTCCTCTCTGGCTGCTGTTTCTTTGGTCCTTTGTAGCCTCCCCCAGGGTCAGTCCCTGCCCTCTTCCCTGCTCTGCAAACCCTTCCCATTGGGCTTGCATCTGCCAAACCCAGGCTCCAGCAGAGACTGTCGACCCAGACCCTCAACACCACTCTCTCCTGTGGTCACTGCTCCCAACACCCGCCTGAAACCAGGGAGTTGCCCTCCTCTCTTCCCTTCCCTCACCCCTCAGATCTTACCAATCCCACTATCTAAACCTCCCCAGGCCAGCCCTCTCCCCCGTGACAGTTTCTTCAAGAATCCCTACCCTCAGGCCCCTGAGCGAAGCTCCTCTGTACTATCAGGGGGAACGCCAGGCACCTGCAGCCAGCCCTCCAGGAGGGACTGAGGTCCCACAACACAGGGCAGAGTTGTGCTGTGCTGTTATCAGACCCATAAAACAGTGGTCGGCACACTCACTAGTCAACAGAGCCAAATATCAACAGTACAACAATTGAATTTCTTTTGAGAGCCAAATTTTTTAAACTTAAACTATATATATAGGTAGTACTTTGTTATTAACTTAATTATGGTACTCCTAAGCTGGCCTTTGCTAAAAACGTCCTCAATCTGTATGTTCACTGAGGTCGACCCCTTCCAACTCTCCCATCCACACTCGTCTATCTTTTGTCACCCGCGCGTGATTTGCGGACACGACTAGCACTAACCACTGCACAATGAGACTGCTGACTGACTGGCTCACTCAACTCGTGCATGAATCGTGCGCCGCGCCTCCGCGCTGCATATCCCGCAGGCCGCCTGCGCTGCGTCTCCCGTCACCCAAGCGACCGACCGACACCCCCACTTCTAACGCCACTTCTTCAAAATAGACTCGCCCAGGCTGAAAACTGACTTCTGCGCATGGGCCACAAAGTTTCAATCGCACTGTACGTGCGCACCTGCACGTGGTATTTTGTGGAAGAGCCACACTCAAGGGGCCAAAGAGCTGCATGTGGCTCGCGAGGCCGCGGTTTGCCAACCACGGCCATAAAAGAATGGGTGTCTGGTGCCTGAGTTCCACCTGCCACCCAGAAAGTGTCAAGGAGAAGCTGCCCAAGGCCCATGAGGCAAACCCCTGAGGGCTTTAACCGCAGTCACTCAGCGTTGGGAGGGGTGTCAAGAGGTGCTTCTCAGGGGACAAGCTCACAGGTGGATGGTTAGCTGTGTGACAGGTTGCCGGGCTGATCATCATGCAGGACCAGGCCATCATGCCAGGGGGGTGGGCAGCAGAGGGTCAGGGCTGTCCAGGGGATGGCTGTGTAGGAAGGTCAGAGTCAGATGCCCCTGACCTGTCAGAGAGGTCCATCACCTGCTCCCACTCAGTCAATCTCTTCATTTCCTTGACAAGATGAGGAGATACTCTTCCAGTAAATTTTTTCCAAGTTTCGCTCATCTCAAGTACTAGAAAAGTGACGAATAAGTCTGTGGTTTGACTAGGTTCCATCTAAGATAAAAGATTCTTCCGAATACCGCCCCTTCACCACCGTGGTTGGCACGTCGCTGCTGCGCATAAAAGGCAGGAGGCTGCCTCCAACACTTCAGAACAGCACGAAGGACCAGGACAAGACAGAATGCGGCCTGCCAGCCCAAAGATGAGCAGCCTCCCCGTCCTGCCCCTTTTCCTGCTCCTGCTCGCACTCCACGCCCCTCAGGCACAGGGGCAGCCCTTAACGACTTACCCCGAACTGTTCAAGGAAATCGAGGCCATCCTGAACAAGCCGCCTGTGCCTTCACAAGTGAGTAGCTGGGACAGGTTGGCGTGGGGCAGGGAAGGGCTGGCAGTGCTCAGGCCAATGGGACTCATGGGCTCGCTTTCTCTCTCCCCCACAGGAACCCTTGAGCTTAAGTGAAGAATCCATCCTGAAGGTAAGAGCTCAGCCCCACACTTGGGTGCACCCCCTGCCTGGGTGACCTCAGTTTTTCATCTGTAAATAGGGTTAGCAGCACCTAGCTCGGTGGGGTGGTTGTGAGTTAAATGGCCCACTGTGCATAAAGTGCCCAGATCAGGTGTCCAGGACATTTCTGCAGCCATGGCTATAATACGAACATGTTTTGTTTTCATTACAAAACGAAAAGGCAGCTGTAGGTGAATAATACCAAAGGCCGTAAGCTCAGCTTTCAGGGGGCAGCCTCTGGACTGACAGATTGAATTCCCCCCTCCACCCCCCGCCCGGAGCATGCCTGCTTCCTTTCCTTTAAAAAACCGAGTTCTGTTTTCCACGCTGACCAGCCCTGGATATTATCATTCACAATTATTTCTCTTAAATGGGTACTATGTCATCTTGTGTGCACTGGGTGTGTGTGTGTGTGTGTGTGGTGGGGGTGGGGGTCAAACCTCTGCTGAGTTTATCGGCCACCTGCAGCTCCCCTCTAGGCACTCACAGTTCGCATGCTGCGCCCATTTCCATGGGGGGGGGGGGCTGGATTTTCTTCCTGATTCCTCGGCGCCCTTAGTGCAGTTGGGCATTTACCCTGTTCGCTGCAAGAATGTCCCTTGGCCAGCGCTTTGCCTTCTTTAGCGTTTCTTCTGAAAAATGTTTTCTCCCCAAGTGCAGAAGCATCCACCCGGGCCCTCTATGCAGCTCGCATGGAGACAGGGGCTCTGGTGGGAGGGAAGTGGGCCTTGCCTGTTCCGTGCTCACACATCTAGGCCTGTGAACTTTGAGGCATAACCTGGGCGAGAGGGGGATGAGGAGGGCATTGTCCAAGGGTGTCCCTGAAGAAGTCTTGGAAAATTGTGGGGAGGACTTCAGCCTGGTCATGGGAAGGACACTCCCCAAGGTCCCCTTCTTACATGTATTCTTTGTCCCCTTAGAAAAATAGCTGTCTGAAGATAAATCTGGATACATTCCTGAATGCTACCAATAATTTTACAAATGGAGACAAAATCAGGAGAATTCTTGAGGTGTGTGAAGCTATCGAGGGCTTTGGGCTCCCCCCCTCGGCCCTGTCCTTCCTCTGGGGAACCTCTTCAGGGCCTGCTCCTTTCCCAGGCGAGGCTCTGACGGTCTGCTTTGGTCTCTTCCCATAGGAATTCAAGACAGTCCTGCCCACCTCCACGTCCAAGGTAAGCTGCCCCCTAAGACACCCCTGCCAGTGGTGCCATCAGCCACGATCGGACCCTCAGCCTGTCATCTGCCTTGCAACCCAGCCTCATCTAATACCACCTTTCTGGTTTCTTCACAGAAAAACCTGTTCAGTATCAAGAACTGGGGAGATTTCAGGAGGAAACTGAGAGAATATCTGGGTACCCTTAAAAAGTGGATGGAAACAAGGTTCCCTCGGACACCCAGATCCCTCTGAGCCTTCTCTCTACAGGAAGCAGCAAAACCTCTGAAGACTCTGAGACGTCTCTCACACAGCGCAGGACTAGAGGACTTTATTTTCTCCAGAAAAGTCTGAAGAATTGTTATTTATCTAATGTCTGAAGTGTGCAGCCCCATGTGGCCTGTTGCAATTATGTTCTCATTTTTATCCTATTGAGGCTATTTATTATGCATTTATTTATTTATTTATTTATTTTTATTTCTTTTTTTTATTAATAAATCTTTATTGTTCAGATTATTCGCATTTATTTATTACTGTGCAATGTGACGTCTATTTATTTTAGCAGAGGAGCCAGGCCCTGCTCCTTCTGAACAAGATCAGGAGTGGAGTTGGGGACATGCTCATTTGTACCTCAGGTTTTGAGCCAGTTTCTATACATCTGTGAAAATAAACCACACTGTGAACAACTGCTTTGTTGCCCATGTCTCAGTTTGACTCAGTACTCTCTTGCCTGATAATTTAGCCACCTTCCCCACCCTCCCCCTGCCCCGCCCCACCCTGCCCTTCAGGCCTCATTGCCACCAGATGGAGCCCAGAACCCACACCCTGCCAATCTGTGTTTTCTTGGGGAACCAGATTTAGAAAATGCAAATCTAACCAGGTTGGCCTCATTCCTAATTTTCCAATCCTCAGGGTCTGGACCTTGTCCTTCTCCTTAGGAAAGCATCAAAGGCCTGCTGCCACATGTGCTTCTCTTTCCTTACTCCCACAGCTACCGATCCCCTCCAGGCTCCAGCCAAGGGACGCACTGCGGCTTCCTAAATGAACCACACACCAGTTTCCTACCTCTAAACTTTTCCCCACGCTGTCACCTCTGCCTCACATGCCCTCCGTTCTGACTCGCACGGTGAAGTTTCTACTTGAGAGACCAACTCAAACGCTGCCTACCTCTGGGTTGTCCACTACCCAGGCTGGATGACACTGCATTTCTCTCCTGACTTGCAGTTCATACATACAGCAAACATTGGCTGCACGCCTGTGTCAGGCCCTGTACAGACGCGGGGGACATGGAAGGGGTCCAGGGAGGCTGCTTTCGACTGAGTGGTCTGGCAAGGCCTTCCTGCGGAGGTGACCTATAGGTTGAAACCTGAACGACAAGAAAGTGCCAGCCACGTGGCAACTAGGGAGGACAGGGAACAACAGCCAGCGCAGAGACCTGGAGACTGAAAGAGGCTGAGAGCACTCACGGAACAAAGGGAGACCTGTGGTGGGGAATTCTGGGAGGAGCCTACCACTCTCCCTCCATCTCTCTCCCTCCCGCATCCCTCAGGCCCAAGCCGTGTGTCAGTGACGGATGACTGCAGGAGGCGGTGAGGGGTCAGGTCAGACCCAGACCTGGTGTGGGAAGATCAGAGGTGTGGGAGAGAGATCAGCACCCAGCAGGACCCACCGCAGGAGTGGGGGTGAAGGAGGAGGGGACATGCTTGAGAGGCGGATGGGCCTTTTCAGATGTTCTGGGGCTCTCATTGCCCTGCTTATGGAGTAGTCCAGTCCACTCCACGTTGGACTGGGATGAACATGGGCTTGGCCCATGAGGGCTCACCCCAAGCCTCAGACTCTGCCCGCGGCCAGCACAACCCGGCCCAAGCACAGCTCTGGGCTGCGGCCCAAGTGGTGTTCAGTCATCAGTCTGGGAGGGCTGATGGCTCCCCCTGCAGGTCTGTCAGTTTCACGTCTTTCCTCCAAGCCTACCCAGACTGTCCTCAGCCCTAGCTTTATAAGCCCAGTTGCCACAAGGGGACAGCAAAGCCTCATGGTCCGGAGGAGGGCAGGCTGAAGGCCAAAGTTCCCTCCTCCCCACTTCAGCAGAAAAGTAGATTGCCTCAACCAGGAATTTTATTTTTTATTTTAGCTGTGAAAATATTAGTTTTTCACTGGGAGGGAAATATGAGAGAGCATATATCCTCTTTAATTGAAAAAACACACAAACAGAGCAAAGAAAAACTGCCAGGAAGGCAAGTGCCTAAGGAGAGAACTGAGAGGCATGGCCAGCCTCGTACCACCATGTGAAGCCTCCTGCTCCAGGAAGGGGCTCTGCCCTCCCACCCTGGCCTCGAATCCACATTTGACTCAGTTCAGCAAACACCCCGAGGACCCTCCATGGCTTACCCAGGCTGGGGCACTTGTCCAGCTGGCCGAGCACAATGTGGTGAAGGTTATTATAAACAAGGTGGTGGCTGGAGGGCTGTGGATCTCGTCGGAGGTGCTTCCCACAGGAGGTGATGCACAAAGGAGAAAGGAGTAGGAGTCTGTCAGGCAGAGAGAGGCACAGAGAAGGGTGTCAGGCAGATGGCGCTGGGGGCAGGATGTGGAGGTCTGAGAGTTCAGGGCAAGCAGAGGCATAGGAGAGTCTAGGCAGTTTATAGGGCCAGAGTGTGGGTGCCAGGAGAGGCAGGTCCCCAGAGCACCCAGGGCACTGCCTTCGCCCCTAGAGGCCCGCCACCCTGGGCCACAGGCAGCTTTGGATTTAGCCAGGTTCCCTCCCCAATTTCTCCCTCCCTGATCCCACCTGGCCATTGTGGAGACCAGGAGGTAGGATGGGGCCATATCAGGGATAGGATGGCTGTGTTTAACGCCAACAGGAAGGAGCCAGGGCAGAGGGAGAAAGATGCCGGAGGAAAGAGGGCCCAGCCGAGCAAAAAGGGATTCCTGGGCCCATAATGGGAGCGTGGGAGAGGCAGAGATAATGTGGCACAGAGTGGAAGGGTTGAGTGAATTGTCATAGGGAGCCCGGGCCTCAATTTCCTCTTGGAAATTTTAGGTCAGGCTAATGGAGGTGAAGATTTATCAGGCAAAATTGCTGTTGCTCTGCTGGGCTGAGGAGAGACTCAGAGAATCCTCTCAATGACCCGATGAAATCTATTATTACCCCCATTTTACATACAGAGAAACTGAGGCACGAAGAAATTAAGGAAGTCTAACTCCAGAGCTTCTGAATCCTTAAGCCATAGTGCTCTGGCCAATGCCCACTGAGGCTGAGGAGCCTTTTAGGTCTGGCCCAGGGCCCACCTGGCATCTCCCCTTGATTGGATCCAGAGGTACCTGCTGGCTCCACAGACTCCTGGTTCCAGCCCTAAGGACAGCAGCCCAGCCTTGGTGCCTCAGCTCCACCCCCCATTTACCAAACCACCATACATCCATCATCAAATTCCTCTACATGCCATTTGTCCCTCCCCCCGCCCAGCCCAGCACAGTCCCCATACACCCACACTGGGGCTTAGGTCCACAGCTGTTCCCGGTGCTCTTGTCCCTGTGTGCCCCATCCCCACACCTCATGGGGCTTATGATTATGAGAAGGACCACGGTCTCACAGCCATCACCTGCCTTGACTGCAGTCAAGGCCTCCTCCCTCCTACCCACCTTTCAAAGACCCCAGGCTCAGCTTCTACCTCCAGCCTTGGCTGATGCTGACACCTCCCTTCTCTCCCAGGAGCACTCCCTGTTCCCAGGGTCCTAGTCTGGAATCCTAGTCGGAGGCCTCTCACCTCTGCAGAGAGGCACCCTCCACCCTGGCTGCCCCTGGGGCTTCTTTCAGCAGACACTGGGGACTGTCTTGCTCTGCTCTGTCCTGTCCAGAGCCCGCCCAGGTGCAGACAGGAACAGCAGACTGTGACACTGAAGATGTGCACCCTGAGGGGGGTTGTGTCAGAGAGGTGTGGGGAGGGAGGCCCCCTGGAGGGGAGGGAAGGCATGGCCAGGGCAGGTTTGAGGGACAGTCACAGCACAGAGTTGTAGGAGCACCTGGGAGTGGGGAGTGGGCCATGGACTCAGAGCGCTGGGAGTGAGGGCCCACACAGGTGATGGTGGTGGGTGTTCTTCCCACCTCCTTCAACAGACTGTTCCGATCCCTGTGGGCCAGGCCGGGCCCTCCTGAGCATGGGTAATAAACAATGGACAGCCACTGCTGCCCCTCAGAGGGGCTGTGAACCCACCCGCGTCTCCCTGCTCTCCTCAGGCTGAGGGCTGGACTCAATGGTTACTTGCTCCTTCCAGCCAGGATGGGAGTCCCCTGTCCTGGTATCCGCAGTTGGCTCTTTCCAGGAAAATCCACGTGACTGAGTCATTTCTTAGTCAGCCGACCTTAGCTCATCCAGACTACCCTCAGGGTTTGCCTCCTGCGGCTGGGTGTGGGAGGTGCTGGGGCACTGGGGAGGGGTGTGCACAGGGAGCCCCCATCAGGGAAGCCTAAATCCGCCATCATCTCCAGGGCACAGGAAAGCTCTGGAGACTGGTCCAGACCCCAGCAATCACGCCCCTCTCTTATTGACAGGGAGACTGAGGCTGGGTGGTAGGGGTGGGTACAACACCCCATCAGCCAAAACATGTGGCCAGTGCTCCCCAGCAACCCACAAAGCCACCTCTGTGTGGAGGTGAGCCAACTGGGGCTCAGAGGTGGGAGTCACATGCAGTGAGGAGTGGCCAGGCTTGAAGGCAGGCCTATCACCCCCAAACCTGCATTCATCACAAAGGGAGCTGCTGTGTCCCCAGGAAGCTACATAGGGGACTGGGCACACCCCTACTGGGACATGGCTGGGAGAGTGGGAATGAGTTTGTGTTAGGGGGAGAGAGTTATGAGTGGTTGCCCTGGACTGGAAGGGGAGATCCCCAAGGACCCCTCCAGCCATCCAGAGACACTTCGTGGACCACCTTTCCTCACAAACCCCTAATTCATTGTCACCTTTATCCCTCCTGCTGGGCCCTCAGCCTGAGTGACAGTCACCCCTGGAGGGGCTGGGGGCC